TTAAAAATGATGGGAGTAGGCAATTTATTAAGAATTTAAGTTTGTGCTTACTATATTTCAATTATTTCTGCCCCTCCATTACCAAAGGAAATTAAAAGCGGCATCAGTCCTTTTGGAAACCAATGTCATCCAGCATGAGGGAGCATCTGTGTGCTCGGTATGGTGCTACAGGCTGTGAGTAGTGCAGAACTCCACAACACAGACCTTTATTGAGCACTTCCTGTGTACTTGTGGGCGTTACCTCATGTAACCCACAAATAACGCTATGGGGTAGGAAACGGACACAGAACTTGAGGCACAGAGAAGTTAATTAATTTACCCATGGAAGTACCTATACTTGGCAGTCTAACTGCAGAACCCAGGCCCCTGACCCTTCAGCAATACTGCTTCCCCAGTTTCAGTGAGTTTACTGAGTAGTTGGAGGATGACACAAAGACACATAAACAAGTAGTGTATACAAATGCCATTGTACAGTTATGCAAATTAAGTACTCAGAAAGAGCATGTGGGTCAGGTCTGAGGCCATACAATCTCCACTGCAACTATACAACTCTGACCTTGTACCTGGAAACAAGCCATGGTCAGTACGTAATGAATAGGCATGGCTATGTGTCAACAAAACTTTATTTATAAATACAGATAGCAAGCTGGATTTAAACTGTAAGCTATAGTTTGCTGACTGCATACATAAATGATACATGCTATACATTTCATAAAGGAGATCAATACAGGCTGGAGCAGCTGAAGGAAGCTCTGGGATTGCTGAGTTCAGCCATGAAGGAAGATCTGAGATGGGCTTTCAAGACCCTTGGAGAACTGGCCCCATCTCCTTAAACTGTTCTCTTTCCACTTCCCTCTCCTGCTCAGATGTTCCTTCCTAGGCTTTGCTTACACTGAGCTGATCCTTATTCCTGGAAGTTCTTCCCCCAGCTCTCCTGGAGGCTGGCCCTTTGGGCATCAGATTTCCTCTCAGATATTACTTCTTCAGGGCTGCTTCTCTGAGGAACAAGTTAAAGCAGGCCACCTCCTGCCACTTTGTCACATCATCCCATCTTATTTTCCTAATGGCATTTATGGTTTCTGAAACTAACTTGTTCATTTATTGGTATACTATTATCTACCTCTGTTATCTACGTCTGCCTGCTCTCCTTCTAGAATGTAAGCTCAATAGTATCAGATCAACGTTTGTATTGTTTACTGCTATATATTCCTGGCAGTCAGATCATGGCTGGAAGATAAACAAAAAATACTTGCATAAGTAAAGAAAAGGAGAGAGGAAGGAGGGAGGGAGACTTAGAATATGTAAGCATGCCTTATTAAGTGGTGTTTAATTTTCTCTTGTTCTGTGCCTGAATAGACTACAGCCCTCATTAGAATGGCTCATCATTCAGTGCCCATGATACTATTTCAATTAGGAAAACATCCTTAGCCCATAATAAAAGGGTGATAGCTCTTAGTTATGGTCATTCCTTGGTCAGAGGTAGGTCTTCTATACTTCTGAATGAAAACACATAGTTTAAGTTACAGGCTGGTTATACCTGAAATTAAAAAATGCACACTAATCCTCATTTCACTATATCAAAAATAAACCTATCTATTGAATCTTTAATGCTTACCCACATGCATTAAAAAGCAAACATCCTCTTTTTCTCTAAACCATAACTATTGTTAAACCTAACTTTTATTAGATTGATTTTATTATTGGTTTTTAATATTTGTTGGGTCCGCCCCCTAAGCTGGTAGGATAACTAGCAAGCTAGTCATCAATAAGTGACCAGGCTGCTTTTCTATCTGCTCTAGCTTCTTTCTCTTACCAAGCCTCCCATTCCCCTAAACTGCTAGGACCAGTAATAATAAAGGCTTTCTCAGACAGCTGCAAAGTTAATTGTTTCTTTGTATTTCCCTAAATCCTTTTTCTCTGTGCAACTGAAGCAGAAAGACACAGCAACTTTTGACTAGATCACAGTAGTAGCTAGCTGTAGCCACATGAGTCTTTTTTTCTTTCCAAAGGGGAGTAACATTTCACTGTCTAGGAACCTTACAAACTGGTATGCTTTCTTTAAAAGCTATGTAC